GGCGCCCTGTGCCCCGGGCCTTGCCGCCCCCCGCCCGGGCGCCCCTCCCGGCACGCAGCTTTACCCCCTTTTCCGCGGGTGCCGACCTCCACCTCGACCTCGTTTTTAACGCTGCCCTGGGCTCTAGACTCTGAGCTGCAAATCTGGCACCCGCGCGTTCGCCGCCTAACCCAGCCCCTGCCCTTCATCTTTATTTCTGTAGAGAGCGCCAGTTTTCCCAGCCCTCAGCAGGTTCTGGGCTAGTAACTATAGCCCAGATAACTTTGTAGAAAAAGAAAAGTGTGTTTAGGTGCAGCTGCTTTAGGAACATCTATATCCCACGGGTAAGATTCATTGATGGTTGCAACTGGGAACTGAAGGTCAGCCTCACAGGCTTGTGAATGAGTGGTCTGTAGTGGAGACAGCAGGCTACTGAGAGCCCTTCTTTGGTCAAGATGGGTTTGATATTTGTTCATTATACTTAAGACTTATTAATTATCTTCACCTGGCTTTTCTCTTCCCATGTTCTTGACTTATGTTGTACTGGTCTCATATTCTCTATTCAAGTTGTTTATTTTTCATGAGGACTTAGCCATTCCTCCATAGTATGGAAAGGCTCTAAATTATGGGATGGAGTCAATGAGGAATTAAAGGATTGTTGTTAAAATGTAATGGCAAATAGAATTTATCAAATTATTTTCACGTAACTTGCATCTCGTAGATCTTATAAGTATCACACCAGTGATGCTCCAATCCCTTAGGAGCCCCTTGCTGGACTTGCTCCAGTATGTCCATGTCTCTCTCATACTGTGGAGTCCAGAACTGGCACAGGACTCCAAATGTGGCCCCGCCAGTGCGGAGTAGAGGGGAAGAATCACCTCCATTGACCTGCTAGCAACAATCCTACTAATGCAGCCCAGGATGCTGCTGGCCACCCTTGCTGCAAGTGTGTGTTGCTGGCTCATGATCAACATGATGTCCTCCAGGACCCCAAGGTCCTTCTCTGCAGAGCTGCTTTCCAGCCAGTTGACCCCCAGCCTGTACTGATGCAGGGGGTTATTCCTCCCTAGGTGCAGGACTTGGCATTTTGCTTTGTTGAACTTCATGAGGTTCCTGCTGGCCCATTTCTCCAGCCCATCTGCTGAATGGCTGCACAGACACCTGGTGTATCAGCCACTGCTCCCAGTTTCGTATCATCAGCAAACTTGCTCTGTCCCGTCATCCAGGTCACTAATGAAGATGTTAAGCAATACTGGACCCAGCATCAAGCCCTTGGGGGCACCACTAGCACCTGGTGTACATTGTAGCATGAGAACATCACAGCGTTCACTAGCGTACCGTACGAAGACATCGTATTTCTGCAAAAGAATGGCTGCCTTGTACTACATCTACAGTTGTGTAAAACTACGACTTCAGTGGGCTGTTTGCAGTTCCCTCTTCTCACCTTCTTAAATTTTCCCTGTACAAATCCCAGGCTCTTGCCCTTCCCTGTTACTTCACTCTAAGCAAGTGTCAGTACACTTTCCTCCATTCCTTGCATCTTACTTGGCTGTAACCACCATATTTATTAATGCAGGCCCAGCACAGATTCATTTAATCAAAAACGTTTTGCTAAATGAATCCATGTTGATTATGAGGAGTTACTGTTTAGTCTCTTCCTTTTTAAACATATTGTCTCTATACTGCTGAAACTGAGAAACTGACTTTCAGACCTGTTATATGGGTCCAGTTCTTACTAATTTCCTCATCTATATCAGATGATACAGGAAATCGACTGCGGTTCCAGCTGGAGTTGGAATTTGTTCAATGTCTGGCTAATCCAAATTACCTTAACTGTAAGTACTTCAAAATAAATGTCAGAGAATGAATATTGGTCTTCATTATTTTTGGTAATGCTAAACAATGAAAAAAGCAAATGGATTTTTCACGGAATAAAGGTAGTCTGTAAATACTTCCATTTGTCCAGATTTTTAATGGGATGAGGGTGGGGGGTTAAATGCCAAATGTTTTATTTGTTTAAATAAAATTAAATACATCCACATGTAGAAGAAAATAAGAAGCATAAGTCTGTAAGAAAAATAATTTCAAGATAACAGTATTCCTTTATCGTAAAACAGCATTTTACAAGTGTTAATAATAGTTTCAGATACTGTACTTATCTTCCTTGAATTTCCCTGCCAATTTTGATGCAACAGTCAAAATTTCCTGTTTTAAAAAGCTGTTTCCTTCCTTGTTGCTGTATGAAAGACACATACTGTAAGGGAGACAAGACTACCTTCTTATGCTTAGAATGCTGACATAAAATATACTTTTTCCCTGTATACTTAGTTCATCTTGAAGTGATCAAATTTTGATTTTAATTTTATAGTAAAGTTTTGACTCAAGTGTTCCTTTATATAGTTTTTGAACGTACCTTCTTCAAGTTTGGCAGATTTTTTTCTTGCATCTATAACTGAGCGTTCCTTATTTGTCATCTTATTTCAGTCCTTGCGCAGAGAGGCTACTTCAAAGACAAAGCTTTTGTAAATTATCTTAAATATTTACTTTATTGGAAGGAACCTGAATATGCAAAATACCTAAAGTAAGTGTTAAAAACATTCAGTGATCTAAATTTTAATGATGTGATGCTTACCCTTTGTTAGGTGCTGTGTAGCAGTATGTATCTGATTTCTGCCTGCAACCCTGCTTTTGTCCTCCCCCCGTTTTGCTATGTCCAACAGTCCAGATATAATAGGAATAAACAGAATGACAGAACTTGTCTTTCATTAGTTGTGCCGTGAATCTTCCTTTTGCAAACTATATCTGCAGTTTATCATTTGTTTCAAATATTAATATTGAACATTGTGGTACAAAGCCACTTCAGTTAGGCCCAGCAGCCATGTTTTGAGAGTAATTTTGCCATGTTGATGCTTATATGAAGTAAAGGATGGTTTTGCATTTTTCTTAGTGTTGCAAATCTCCCTCACATCTTGGGAAAAGAGTTCTTGGTTTTGCTCCTTAAATGAACTCTGGAAATAGATATTGTAGCTGATATTTATTTGTTTTAATGAAATCTCAACTATTAGAGAAGTTACCCAATGCACACATATGCAAGTACAAATGTTATTGGACTCCTTGTTTCCTAGCATAAAACTGAAGTTACTAAGGTATGTATTAGTGCCTGGAATATCGTAGTTTTAAGTGGGTTGATACTTGAGTTAAGCACATACATGAAAAATTGAAATAATGAGCTGCAGAATTATTGGAGACTCCAGTCTTGGTGTACCTTGTAAAGAAATGCTTTAATACAAGCTTTTTATGTTTAATGCAGGTATCCTCAGTGTTTGCATATGTTAGAGCTTCTCCAATATGAACATTTCCGCAAAGAACTAGTAAATGCTCAGTGTGCTAAATTTATTGATGAGCAACAGATTCTTCACTGGCAACATTATTCGAGGAAAAGAATGCGCCTCCAGCAAGCACTGGCAGAGCAGCAGCAACAGAACAACACGTCAGTAAAATGAAAAACGTTCTGAAGAGTTACAAGGTGGTACATTGTATCACCTAAAGTACTTTCAGGAGAGGACTTCTGGTAGGTTTGGCTGTGTGTACATAAATATGTAACTTTACCTGCTCATTTATGTTGCTGTGATGTTTTGGATTTATCAAGTGGCTAGGCTTTTTTTCCCTGCAACTTGTATCAACATTTTAAAGATACGAGACTAATAAACTCTTACTTCTGTAATTTATTCTGTAGCATGAAGATCTCAAGAGTGTTATTACAGGTCTTTGTTCCTCTTGAAAACAAAATGTAGTTTTTTTTTTTTTAAGGCACTGTCACTTAAGTAAGTGACAAAAAGGTATAGTGTGGAAGGTTTTAAGAGGCGTATTCCCTGGAGAACAATGCTGTGTCTCATAGTGTTGCTAAGAACTCCCTTGTGTACTGTTTTTTACAAGGATGAGCAAAGTTAAAGCAAAGATATACAAAATCTACAATGATGTTTGTCTTGAAACAGAGCTGAGCCATAACGTGTCATTTTTGTTCATCTGATAGTGATTGTGGCGAGGATCTTGCAGAGTTTTGCTTACAGTATATTTTAGAGACAATCAAAGTGTGAAGAGACAAGAACTGCAGGAGAGGAGCAGAGTTAAGTAATATAAACTTTGCAGTCAGTTACTATGCAGATACTAAACAGAAAGTAGAGAAATAGGCTGTAGCTGTATCTATTCCATTGAAGTCAGTGTATTTTAATGGAATACACACTTTACTTCCTGCCAGTGAAATACTAGATGCTTATAGGCTTTTTTACAGTAAGCGTAGTGGAAATAATTTGTTACAAGAAAAGTGTAAATGCTTGCACTAGTTGGGAAGCATTTGCCCTTTGTTTATTTCTGTGCAGGATTTTTTTCCTCAAGATGATATATCTTGACAGCTGATTTTATCTTCTTATTTTTAGATTGTATTCAAATGAGTGTAGTTTTCTTTGTGTAATGAAGAATAAAATGTAGAATCAAAAAGTGGCTTCAGGGACTTCTACGTAATGTGACTTGTCAGTTAAAAATACAATTTATTAAACTAAATTAAAAATACAGTATAGCTTGAATGTTCTGCTTTTAAAGATTAAGCTCAGTTTAGAGAATTTGTTCTACCTTTCTAGGACAATTATTTTCCTTTCTGGATACGTTCAAACAGCTTAATATCCCTTCATGCTATATTTCATATTCTTGTAAGAACAGGTACTGTGACCATTAACCCTCACCACATTAACCAATGACACCAGGCCTTCCGCTCATCATGCTCAGACTGAACACAAGCCATTAAATATCTTAGGTGTTGAAACTCTGTCTTAACAGCTTTGGTAGCTTGGTAAAGTCTGATTTAGGAAGATAAACAGATTCTTCTTTCTCCTGTTCTTCCCACTTACTATTAAAGGTATGGCTTAGCAATCAAATCTTACTCTTCAGTAACACAGGCTGAACACAGAGCGGTTGCTGCTGACCTGGTAGGAAATTGATTTAGGGACACTAAATTAATTTAAGTCCTTGCTTTGTTTTCTAGTAACTGTAACTTGGCCTGCAGTCTTGTAAGAAAGGGTAGTAGATACTACTCTTGAATTCAGTGGTATAATTTAGTGAGTGGCCTCCCCTCCACTTAGAGTAGCACATTCCTTTTGGCTGAAAGGATGCAATAAAGGTTAAGTATCAATATGCATATACTACACTAGCAACTCCACCACCATTAAACAGATTTAGTTAACTATTTTAAAAAATAGTTGCTTGTGGGTAGCCTTTAACAGAATATCTACTTTACCTATGCACTGTTAAGGGAAAGAAGAAAGTGTATACAAAGCGTTTCATAACGTGAGCTCAGTTTCTTTAAAAAGAGACTGTTTGCAAATGCAAGTTTATTTCAACAAGAAAGGAAAGATACAATTTTGCACTGAAGAGATTTTAGTGGAAGGTTTGGATCTAAAATTTAATGACATTTATTTTGACTAGTCCAAAGTTGTAATTTACCATGATAGCCTGGAAAGTGTAAAGATCCTTTGAAAAGACAGAGCAAATAACTGCGGTGAGCATCTTAAATGATTAACTACTGGGAAGTTTTAATCTTCAGTAAACAACATACGCACAAGTTCTGCCTTAAAACATTCTTCTTCAACCAGCTTCTGAGGCTGAAAGAAAAGTTAAGATGTTTTAGGGGCAATTCAAAATGCTGTTCGAGACTAGAACTATTTGTATATGATAACGTTAGCCATGCTTCAGCAATTGTTCTTCATATATGGCAAGCAGTGAAGCATAATTGAAAAATGCCTGAGAACCGGTTTTCTGCTCTTAGAAAACATCTGCTAATTTAATTAAATTATACAAGTTAAAACGTGGTCTGACAGGTTTAGCACCTTCAACTATAAAGCACAAGAATTTATGGGAGTCAAAACTTGTAGTCTGTTTGTATCAGAAATGTACTGCACTAATAACGTTCCACTCCCATAATTCAGCGTTTGAATTTTCTAAAGCTTGAGGAGCTGCAGGTCAGGAAGCTAACAATACATTAAGAATTTTCTCTCCCCCCTCAACCACTATTTACTACATATGTATTACAGAGAAAATTCTACAGAAAACAAATCAGTTGTCTGTTTGAACCAGGAAGGGGGAGGGCAAAAGAGATGTTCCTAATTGTCTGCTTTTTTAAAATAAGAGAGCGTAAGACAACGTGGATGGAAAATATAAATTTGTAGCCACAAGCCCCTGCCAGTTTCTCACTCAAATGCACATAGACCTGAAACAAGTAATGAATCACTTACTGTTCCATATTTAAGTAGTGTAGGCACTCCTGTTAGTTTCAGATTCTTTCTGAATTCATTGTTGGGGTCTTTCCAGCTGTTCAGAAAGAAGGTGAACAACAGCTTATACAGATGCGCTTTGAAGTTAGCTTGTTTAAAATTCCTTCACAAGGATGATTCAAAGGGCCTCACCCCCCCCCCCCCCACGTAACAAGCATGGAGATAGTTCACCTTAGGGATGGTATAGACCTCAAAAGTCACAAAATGATTCATTCCTTACAGGAAAGGGCAGTTCAGTCAGTAGTTTCAACAGGTTAGGTAATGCCAGTCCAAGAATAACAAAATTACATCAGCCATTGGCATTAAAATATTTTTACTTACTAGGCTCTGTCTCCTACTAGGCAGTAGATGAATACAGACCCATCAGGCATGTTATGAAGTTCCTTCCTCACAATGGGTTCAGCTAGAGAGTAATTTATAAATCAGTTAGTAGTTAATACTTTTACTGTGCCACAGAATCACGTGGATCTACTTTGCCCAACAAGGTTGCTAGTGCTGATACTTCGTAGGCCTCAGGCAGAGGCCTGGGAAGCTTTGCATTGATGTTAAAGGGACTGGCCTTTGAGTGAAGGCCAGTTTCTGCCTAGCAAGTAACAGCAATAACTGTTATTGCCTGTCTATGCGAGAGCCCATCAGAACAGCGGTAAGCTGTTGCCGTATGTAATTTGGCATATACGATGCAGCAGAGCTGAGCGTGATGTACTGTGAGGAGCCACCGCGTTAACGCTATGTTGTACTGCCAGGCAGTAAGTCACTTCTGTCCCTTGATTGTATAAAGCAGAAGTGAATTAACTGCTCCCAAGATTCACCTCTAATTGTTTGCAGAGCCAGACAGAAACATCAGCCTTTGTAGAAAGCTCTGCTGAACAGCACGTTGCGTTACGGGCTACTCGGTGGATGTCGCTGGCGAGCGAGACCAGCGCAGGCG